AATATAGATGCCTCAAGTATACAGCTTCTATAGAAAATTGTCTATATTTTGAGAGATTCATATCTCGAAGAGGGTTTGTCCAAACCTTCTGATGCTTTTTCTGTAAGCTAGTCTCAGTGAAAACTTCATGCATAAAAAGTTTCAGGTTCAAATTCGAGAATATGATATTGCTGGGAAAGCCGGTCGTGCAGAGAAAATTCACTGAAAAATCGAATATCTTCATAAGGGTACGCCAACAGTCGCTAATATTTTAACCATGTTAGTTTCATGATGAGAGCTTTCATTTGACATAAAAGACTTTAACGTTTTTGCTTATCACCTGAAACACCTCCATTGTTAGTATTGCTACTTCACTCCTTGACTCATGTAAAATAAAAGCGAATAATACTATGAAATATTGTAATATTCATTGGTTCCTTTTATCATTAAATATCAAGAATCACAACCTAAATATTTAACGTGATTTGTTGAAAGATTGATTGATAAAATTGATACTTCGCAGGTCGGTGATTCCCGACGCAAGGAATACGAGCACCGTGATTCGTGCATTGAATCATTACTTACGAATTCCTAGCATTTTCCGGTGCTTTTCTGTCGAGTTCAGTTCGTAATTTTCGACCTGGGCTATATTGTCTGTCACTTTTCAACAATTTCTATCGAACAGCAGGAGCAAACCATCAGCTTATTAGTACAGTTTTTAACCGAAAGAAATGTAGGACTCAGGTACTTTCATATTGATAGTAATAGGTAGTAATACAATATCAATCACTCGTTTTATTGCATTTTTACCTGACGTATGAAACACCTAAAACCTATATAATTATCAGGGTAACATTTCGTGTCTGTATTCTCATGAGTATACCGCTATTGTGTACTAATCAAAGTCGAATATATCCGTGTAATCAAACATGGTGAGTAATTCTATTTTATTTTAACTGTTTTATCCCCAAAGCATCTTTTAATACGAGTTGTTCACAGCCAAATAGATTCGACCCGACAATAGGATCCGATAGAGTTCCTGTGTGATCCCATCGGATTTCAATAGAATCCTATAAGAATTTCATCGGAATCCTGGTTCAGGACCTACAGTCGGATCCTCAGTGTCAGAATCCGACGGAAATTTACTTCAAGCATCCGATGGGAAACAGTTATCATGAATTTCTCGTGTCCGAGAGTGGGAAACCGATGATAATCCTATAATTCCCGATAGACAAACTCAGTAGGATCCCATGAATCGGACAGTCCTACAAAATTCCTATAAGAACCTACCAGATATCACCATGTTCCTATGGGACACGCCAGGTTCCAAAACTAATAATCCCAAGAGATTTCCTACACTTGTTTCTTATCGGATCCCCTGAATTCCAATAGAATCTCGAAGGATCAGATGAAAAACCGGATAATATGCTTTAGTGTAGACTATTCGCCGATGCCATGGTAGTTCACACAACATCCAAAGAATAAGAAATTAAAAAATATATTGCAGCTGCTAATTTGAACAATAGACCCAAACGATGAGTACATAATTTAATACACTATACAGAAATTGAGCGGCAAATACAATTAAAACAAATTCAGCGAAACCGAAAATACTAAATGGTTCTTCCCCTGTATCCACCTGAAGTACGCGTCTAACGGTTCTGCAAAAAAACATAAAATAGTTTCCAAACGAACCACGCAACTTGACGAGATATCTCACTGAAGTCACTACTCCTCTATACCACGACAGGTACTAGCTAAGGTTATATCCAAAACTATAAAAGATTGCTTCGAATGTCACAACTGGGAGATTATGTGCATTTTAAAAGTCTATATGATTGTACATGTCACCTCCGTTTATCAGCTTCATTCCCAACTAGCAGCATCACGAGCCTCCACTTTCTTCGAAACGCTCGGGAATGGTGAAACTATCTTCTACTCCACATTCAACACAGCAGCATTTCTGCCGAACGTATCACAGCCGCGAAATAACAACGCACACACACCACCTTTTAACTACTTACTAATCTCACAATTATTCAAGCTTACTAGATTAAGCCTTATTTAAGCACGAATACTCTATCTAAAATTCCAAAAACGTTTTTTCTCAAGTTTGAATCAGCGCTATTTCAGCCATAGTTGCATTACTGAGCTTCTAATGTTCAGTTTTTTTCTGACTAATGCTCTTGTCTTGGACAGCGAAGTTGATGTGATTGATTTTATTTAATGGAAGTATGTTTCTGAGAAATGTAGTAATCGATTTTTTCATGCATTTGTTTATTTTTTTCTGCATATTTTGAGATGGATTGTGTTGGGTGATAGCGGGTGTAGTTTCTGTGGAATAGCTAGTGACATTGTTTTTTTGGGAATAATTTAGGAGGAATCTTATTAGCTGAGTGGTGGTATGGCCCATAGCAAAGTTTTGAGATGCACATAGACGAGCGCAGCAATTTCCCAAGAGACTGATAGGATCCGACTGGAATTTTATTTGAATCCTAGTGCCGGAAGTCCCATCGGTTACTGTAGTCGTATATCATTGAATATTCATCGGAATTCGACTGTCGGATCCGTCACTGATTCCTCAACCAGGAATCCCATCGGATATTTTCGACTAGTTGGATCTCACCAGATCCGATGGGATCCAACACCGGATTCATCCACCTGGGTGTCGAAAAACGAAGCTCTTTATCTTCGATGTTTGCTATTGATAGATTGAAATTCATGATTTTCTACTAATTCATGTATTCATTTTCGTTCTTTAAGAATTGTTTAGTGATAGACATAGTTCATGATCGTGTTATGAAAAGCGAACTGAGTGAATAGGATTAAAATTCGATATCATGTTTATTATATAAATAAGCAGGGATCCTGTTCCTTACAATAGAGACCAAATGGGTTTTCGTTTAAAACAAAGTGTTACATGGTTGATTTAACTCCACATTTGTTTGTTTGCTTGATATTCACAATCGCGCAAATAAACTGTATGAGTTTCTCCGCCTTCGAAGGTGAAAACAACTTGTTTGTCGACGCTGATTGGACGACCGAAGTCGAATGCAAAGAACGGATTGGTTCCACGATGCTCACCAGAACGGTTATCTATTGTTGCACTAATGACTATACGTCCATTGGTGTTCAGGAGTCCAACATTACGATAGTACTCATTATCAGCTGGGCTATCAGGTTTGTAGTAGCAGCGAGGTCCATTAAAGTTGAAAGCATTACGAGTGCTCAACTTCGCACTACATGACGTGACCCCAGGAGACATGTGATGAGTGAGTCTGTTCCAAGTCGAAGCATATAGATCTAGGCCACCACCAAGGTTTGAGTTCATAACAACCACATCCAATGGCCCATTTCCACAGTCAATTTGGATTACATGACCACATAATTCAGATCGAAACTTCAAATGTTTCAAAGACTCAATATTTCCGAGTGCAACTGAGTGACTAATAGCATAACTGGCTTTTGGAAGTTCGCATGCACCCGCTTCGTGGGCACCATGATACGTTGTATGAACTCCAGAAACCTGATCATTAGACGTTTTCATCCATGTGGCAGAAACATAATTGACAATCAAAAGCCCAAATAAGGTTAAAAACGAAATCATTTTAATCATTTTATCACTTTGTGAAACTCTGAAAAGAAAGAATGTCAAATGTTAATGATTCGAAATCTTTTGCAACCAAGGTTCAGTGATATTAAATGGATCTGTTATTTAAAAAATGACCCACGAGTTTTATTCACTATGAAATACGCAGTTGCTACATTCTATACTAAAACAATGAATTTTCATTATTTTATAGTTTTGAATATTGTATATCTTGAAATATATAATGTTGATAAATTTTGACGTATAAACAATAGTTTATCTATGTTGCTGATATGACTCGCTCCTCACTCGAAATAAGAATTCTGAAAGCTTTACGGAAGGGTGAAAGTGGTTCTCACAGGATATTAACTGCAACATAAAAATTGTTTTTGCTTTTATCTAACTTTCGCCTCGACGAACTAAGAAAAATGACCATGATCTTATTCACGCGGTCGTAGCCAAAAAAAACATGGTCAATTCGAGTATCAGTATATCGACTACCTTATTTCTTCGCTGTTCTACAGTGATAGCAGATAGCATTTGACAATCGAATCTCTTCACAAAGTATTCGGGTGATAATAAAAATGTTACAAGAAAGGTAATAATTCACCCTAGACCGACCCTACCTGCTTTGTATGAAGTTGTGTGTGTTTTGTTTGTAGAAGATGATGGAAGTTGAAGTAGCCGAATACAGCAGTATATAACTTAATGAGTATTATAATCTAGTATTTATATAGAAAAAGTTGTATTGTTTTCTTTTTTTATCGTCGCTATAAATACAATGATCATTGGTGGTGAGGTTTTTCCCATACCACCAGAATACATAATATGGTCAATAGTGCCGGGATTACCCCAATCGTGATGGGATATTATGATACAGAACAACCAGTAAGGAAAAGCAAGATTAACAGAAACGTTTGTGTTGCAGTTAGTTGCGAAATGATGGGATTTCCCATTCTTTTATTCCCTGACAAAATGCGACTAATTTTCCATCGAACCCATGATAATTCTTGTTTTCCTTTCCTTCATATAACATTATATCGATAGTAAAGAAACACTCTTTTCTAACCGTCTCTATTTCGTTGTTTTGTGTGTAGCAAATGTTGTTGGTGTGAAGCATTCTCTGTTTAAACACAGAAATACACGCCAATGAGTTAGTTTATCAATGAATCCTAATGATCGATCGTCTTACATCAGTGAATTCAAATAGAATGGAAGTGGTAATGTTAATGTTTTGCTTTTCTATCGTATATTACATTTAAATACCTTTCATACGCTGTCTGAGTGTGTATATGTATTAAGTCATCATCATAGGCATAGCTCAGCACACGATATAGGGAGAGCGGGCATTGAATAGGCAAACAATAGGAACGGAAATAACTCTTTTCTATTATGGGAAAGTGCAGCCAGAATTTTCTCTTTCGAAATATACAGAAGTTTTTGAAAAACCACGAAGTTTTAGCAGATTTTGGAAAGAACTTTTCTATCTATTTATACATTTTATTTCGCATTTTTCTCAACATACAAATTGTAGTCAACAAAGTTGATCTGTTCGCATCCAATGTGAGATTTGTCCAATATTGTATATTTTTCTTTAAGGTTTGAGTGAGACTTAACATTTTACGCAGAAATTTTTCTATAATTGATTTTGTTTAAATTATTTTCATGGTATGTACGATAAAATGGTGGTCAAAATTGAACGAAAATGAATTTCAAAATTCAATTAAGCAAAAAATTAGTAACACAGGCTAGCTTACATTTAAAACTGTCGCGAGTTCTGCGTCTGTTCTCAGAACGAAATTATAATGATTTTCCGAAAGAAAAGAAATGAACTATAGATTAACAGTGTAAATCAGGTCTACTTTAATAGATCACGATGGCATTTTCACGGCGAATGTTTCTTAGTGCGATCACCAATTCTTCAATATCAGGGGCCTTCAACAAATAATAAAACAAGAATTGTGCTTCTCGTCAATTTTTCTCTTTCCAGATTTATGATTAGATTCTTGCTAATTTCTTTAGTGATTCGATAGTGAAAGACAATTTGATGAATACGACCAAGTTAGTCGGAATGAGTTTTTTTTTTATATGAATGTGTATTACTCTACAAACTATGTGTAGGCTAGTTGAAGCTACCTATGAGCCTTGACTTTAGCAAAATAGCGATGAAGAAAAGTGTGTTAGTAACGAACTATTCATAACGTATGTTAATAGTAAATCAAATAGTGCGCGGGAGATTTACCAATTGTTTATTTCTAACTAGGGGTGTACAGCTCGCGCTCACGCTCACGAGCGCTCTCGGTCTAATCGCTCCCGCTCTCGGCGAGCGCGAGTGGTAGTCGCTCCCGCTCATATGAGCGCTCATGAGCGCGAGCGTTTCTGCTTTAAATCAGATCTGTTCAAAATATCATCAGCTAGGAATGTACTATTGCTTGCATGTATACAAAAGCGCATATAAAGTTGTTGATATCTCGTATACCTGCTATNTTTAAATTTCTTCTATAATCGAAGAAGATGCATCATATTAATCATATATATTCGATATGTGACTATAAAATCGGTACACATAAAATACGAAGATATCTTGACTGACATCGATTGAAATAGTTGGATATTGAAAAGAATTAAAAGTTACCTTATGTGTTGATCATTTCAAATTGAAGCAGGATTTAATTTTCTGATTATTCATAGTCGAATAAAGAAGGTTCAGTTCGTTTGGAAAAAAGATCTCGAAGAAATTTATTTTTCACTACATCAAAACATAGTAATATAACTGATATCGGAAACATTTTTACATACAAGATAGTTTGCGTAAACATAATTAACTTGTTAATATTTATTCAAGTATGAACGCTCAGAAAAGTAAATCTTACTCAGATTTGAAACTTTCAGTGTTTAATATATAACACAGTAATTAGCGAATTAAAACACTTTAGCCCCTGAAAGATCATCACAGAATTCAATTCTACATTTCCTCATTGGTTACTTACTGGGATATTTTAATTGTAGCCATAAGTGCTATGCTCTCTAAAAAGAATAAGTTCCATACCGAACTTTAAAAAGTTCAGCAAAGAGTACGAAACCAAAAAAGGATCTTCTGGTGGGTACACGGAAAGAACCTTTTTGATAGCTTTGCAAAAAGTCTAGAAAGGTTTTGTATCAATCTGCGTAACCTAACAAAGTTTCTCACGAAATTAAAAATCCTTGAGGTTTGGCGAAAAACCTTTCAAGGTTTAGCATAGAACCATAAAAGGATCTTCCCTCGGGCACACGGGAAGAACCCTTTTTTTAGAGTGTGTTCCATTACCTTCAGTTATAATATACATCCATATCCCTGTTGTTCATGTTCGCTGTTATGTTTTTTTTACTTTATTTGTTATTCGAGCATTATTGACTGTGAAAATAAAACACATGATTGACACATACGAAAGAATAAAAGCATAACATGCACTCTATTTGATCGAAACGATATCTCTATATTTGTGTAGCTATATTTGTTCTACTCCTATGTAGCGCGCAATGAAAACTCATATCAGTATGGACAAATGCATTTTGTTTTGCACTTTCAATACTTTTTATTGGCTTTAACTGGAAATCCAGTGTAAAATAAATGAACTTTATAGCTTACATAATAGAATATTTCATATCATTTAACAACTATTTAGTTAACTTATACAGGATAGTTAAGGATTTTCAATGCGCATGATATTTACTGATGCTTCAGTGAAACTTCAGGCTTCATCAGCTACTGCGCATTATCAGAGGCAGAAACAATACCAGAACAAGTGAAGGGAGATTCTCTTTTAACGATAAATGATGTACGCATATGAAGGTAGCAGCGCTCGCGCTCATGAGCGGGAGTGCCTACCGCTCACGCTCAAAAGAGCACGAGCGAAAAGCGCTCACGCTCATGAGCGAGAGCGCGAGCTGTACACCCCTATTTCTAACTATGTAAATAAATAGAGAATATAATAACACAGTGATGTGGAGCAGAAATATGATACAATATAGGAGTTGAAATATATAGGATAGAGCTTTTGAACCCCATTGTCCAGTCAACAACCCTCTATCAATCTGCCAGAGACTTACAGATCAAGAAATAAGTTGAAGACAACGGTGGATACATTGTGTTTCACATTTCAATTCTGGAGTGATTACACTGAAAGCTTGTCTTAGTTATGGGACAATTTTTTCAAAATTTCTAGACGTTTCTATCATGAACGAAATATGTGGGTAGTCTTTCTATTAAGTAATACAATAATTCATATGTCAGAGAATGAATTTGATTAGAAAAGTATCATGTGAAGATTCATTTTTATTTTATTAAACAAAGAACTTGCTTATCTCTCTACGTAAATCGCTAAATTTTCTTCGAAAGAAAATTATTAGAATGAATTTTGTTAAATGCATTCTTGTTAAAATAATCGATCGTATGCATTTCTGACAAAACTTAAAACTTATGTTTTACTTAGATCGATGTTTTTGAAAATATTTTACATGTGTTGATTGTCATTTATGTGCATCAAGCATTTCAGAATTTTGTCGATACATACTTTTCTAGTGCATTTGTTGCTGTTTTTTAGATTTCGTTTAATCATAACATGGTTTTAAATCAAATTTACTTGAATATTCAAGACTTTTCTACATGGATTCAAATGTCCCAATATCTCGACGGTTTTGTTCCTCAAATTTATTTTATATGTAATCGGTTGTGGCTTATGCAAACACTTATTTGTATGCTTTATTGTATAAAAGCAAAGAAATTTCTTCCAACTACATTACACTCAAAACATCCCGCAATTTTACAATTTAATTTTGTTTTATTAATGCATGGCATTCTATATACCGCTGAAATCCTCTACACTCGTCTTATTCTCCTTAGCTTCAATTCATTTATTCATCATATCGCTGCAATCCTTATATTTATTTTGACTTTGTTTCAACAAAATATGATTTGTGTATTTTCTCTCATACCGTATGTACTTCAATCGCTTTATTGGTTTTTTGGAGCTCAATATGATTATCTACTATATGTGTATAATGGGTCTCTCATTGTTGTGACATTTATTATAGCATGTTTCAGTTATTCAACACATGATATGAGACTTAAAATAGTTTTCATTGCTTTGTGTTTATTTCAATTTAATCTCTTCACATACTTTTATGGGAATGAATTGAATTTGTTGGAAAAACCGAAAACTTTTAAAATCGTAAAGTCATTGATTTTTTCCTTCATGTCAACAACGCCGTTTTATTTATATTTACTTAATATTAAAAAAATAAATACGCTTTTTAAATCATAAATCAAATGGGTGTGAGCCTGGGCGGACTCTTAACGCTTATATCCACACGCACTCTCTAGGTTATTGTTACAAAAAATTTACTATTCTCATTACAAGAGTTCACTGTTCAAGCGCTCTTATTTTTGTTTTTGGTTCATAACCTAAACAGGTTTTCTTTCGGTTGTTAAAAGTCGGTCACTTTGAAGACGCACATAATATTTCTTAGCAAAACTTGTGATCTGTATTATGCAAGTTAATTGAGTTATTAATCTTTCTTGAAAAGCATTAAAAATGATAGGATTGAGAAAATACTTCAACGGATATATGTACACTTTGATAAATCACTTATTTTCGAAAACATATATAATTTTAGTGGTATGATAAAGATTGAATTCATACATTTCAAGTTACATAAACGATTTATTTATGAGCCTCAATATAAATGTCAATTGTCTCTCTTTGCACGAACTATTTTATTATAATCAGTTGAAGCCATTCTAAAAAGGAAATGTGATTATCAATGCGATAATTTTATCCGTTAGTTCTTCTTTGACATACACATGTTGCTAGTTGAAAATAGAAATGCATTCTAAAAAAGGCACTCATTCATATGTTTCAAGAATCAAATATACATAGTTTATTATACAAAAACAAACAAACGAATACCAATTAGCGAAAATAACTTTGAGGAGAATGTTTTAGTCTTTGTTCGAATTCTCTCCATACATCACTTCTCTCTGAATTTTCATCATTGGAATTTCGATCAACAAAATTGAAAATTTGTTGTGATTTTCTCACGCTTCGCTTAGAATTTAAACCGTCATTATTAAACTTAAGATTATTATCATTTCTAATCAGAAGTCCATTTGTTGATGTTAACATCAATGAACGATGTAAGTCATTTGTTATACTTAAACCATCTAAGCTGTCACTTGCACTTTTTTTCCGTAAATGAAATATTGTAAATATTCGTCGACGTTTTATTCTGCAACGACGGAAACAATAGACTACATATAATTTTAGTGTTGCACGAAACTTCGGATTTATTGAATAAATATAGAAATTTGCTCCGTGATTGATGGTTAACATTATATTTGATATACAAAATAATTTCATTCGAATTTGTTCAAAATAAAATGCTCGGTTCAAATTAAATAATTGTGTTACAGATAAATGTACAACTTCGAACAAATGTACACTACGACATACCATATAAACAGATAGAACACAAACGATCATTAATGTTATTCGAACATATGTATGTTGTTTACGATCATTTGCAAATGTTGTATTCGCCGTTTTGCTCCGTAATTTTATTTGCGACATATGTAATGCTCGCATTAAAAATAGCCAAATTAGAAAACATATTAACCATGGAATAAGCAACGAAACAATAACTACTGTTGGATAAAAGAGACGTGAGTAAAGTACTACATTTAATAGTGATGATAGTTCAAGACCGTAATATTTTACAGTACCGTCATTGGTACAATAGACTTGTATGTTAGTGTAAAGGAATAATGGAAAATTAATAAATATTGAAAGCATGAGAATCAGAATAATTGCATAACGAGCTGTACGACGATTACAATAATGTTTTGCAACTAATGGTTTCTAACAATTAAAAATACACACATTACACATGATGATTTGGTATGCAGTTTATTATAGGAGAATCGACTATACTCGTTGGCTATACATTAATTGAATTAAAATATTTAGTGTAGAATGTTATTTAATTAATCACTCTGACAAATGTCTTTCTTCAGAGAATAGTGGCTCTTTCTTGATAATACTTTTTTTTTAACAATAGAGATCTGAATTTACAGGTTTTCTAAAATTAAATTAACTAGAATTTAAATGACAAAAACTCAATGGAATTGAATTAAAAATCAATTTAATTTTTTCTAGTATGAAAATTAAAATTATATGGAAAAAATATGACTTAAAGCAGTAACACATAAGAAAAATAAGAAAATCTAGTATTTGAGTTACACATGCGTTGATAAAAATCAAAATTCTTCAATAAATCATGCATGACGCCTGAAATTCAATCTTCTGTATTCCTGAGATAATCGACAACATTTATTTCTTAACACAATTTGTAGACGAAACACTACTTCTATTTGTAGAAAATGTAAAAACAATAATTTGAAATACTCTCAATAAAGTCTCAACCGACCTTGATCATCTTTTCTTAAAATTCTTTCCAATTTAAATTTGAACACTTTTAACTTTAATTTTAAACTTTCAATTCTAATTATTATGAGGGTTCACAAATTTATTCCTCCATCCAATAATTCTTTTAAATTTCAATCTCCGGAGCATAAACGTGAAGCCTATTTTGAAAATGTTTGAACCACTTTATCCACTAACCGAGCATCTTTACGTATCACAGAAAACTGTCCCAGACAGTACTGAACGAATTATATACTTTAAAAAAAGTGAAATTTGCTTTCATTGCTTTCTTTTTTAGGTGAGCATTTCATCAGAATTTATCCCCTTAAAGGACTGGAATCCTATTTATCGTCAGACTCTTTGTATTTTAAGAGAAAACTCTTTAAGAAATCTTTTCAGAAGCACTTAAATTATTGCGTTTTTTGAAGCGCATCTTATATTCCTCATGTATATTTAATAATGCAATAACAGCGTATACAATTTACATGATTAATTCAATAACATTCTACACTAAATATCTTAATTCAATTAATGTATCAAGGAGCGTTGTTAGCGTCAGTAGATGGCACTCACTGACGCTAAACGTTTATTCGTGTTATCTGTTGTTATGATCTCTATTATGATTTGTTACGTAATATTTTCGACTATNCCCTGGAGTTACCCCCCCCCCTGCTCTGAGACCTGACTTACGCCCCTGAATGTATCCTCTCCTATATATGCGACGAGCAGATTGCAACGAATTGTCTTGCGGCGAATTGAACGGCCACCTAATACTCATGGTACAAGTTTGACAGATATCCAACAGTTAATTAGTTAGTTTCTAGAGATATATTTCAATAGTATTTTCCCACTAATTTTCTCTGCACGTCTTATCTACTGCCTGAATATCTGATGTAAATAAAAAATAATTTTATAGAAAGAGTATAAATTGGTTCTGAATACATAATGTATGAGACACAACTACATGAGTGCTATTAGAGGCATTTGTTTTATAAATTTGAGGATAAAAGGAAGTGGATACGCATCAACGTTAAGTGGAAAGCTTTGAAAATGTCAGTATTATTTCACAAAATTAATAGTAACTGCATTTCGATTACATCAAAAGTTCACCATAATCATAAATCAAGGCACCCACGAGGATTCTTATTTACAGCAATTTAGATTCTTATTCAGGTTAAAAAATTCTCTTTATACATCAGTGGCAATGTAATTCGATTAAACTATTTTGACAAGATAGCGAATCAATCTTAACAGATTAATTCATTATTTATTCTTGTTTAATTTACATTACCTTGACGACGATCAATCGAAATGTTGTAATTAAAACGACAAGCCAATTGCTAAATGTTGTAAAAATATTTGCTAAAACATTGAATAGAGCTCGAGTCACAATATGTACTGTTAAAAATGCCGATGAATCATTTAGATGTGGTAAAAAGTAGTAAAATAAAATATTATTCAATGAAACAACGGTCGGCGGAACAAGGTCAGCCCATGCTAGTGTAACTAAAAGCGTTGTCATGGTCGAGCGCATATGACGTCGAGTTAAAACAAATAAATTAATTAAATTTCCTGCATTGGCAAAAAGCGACAAAATAATACTGATGACTCCTAATGTCCAAAATGCAAATGATGAAAGAAAATCAGTTTCAGCAAAACGACTTGGCTCTTGAATACATTAGAAAACATGAGAGGATTTGTTTTATGAATAATTTTCTATTTACCTTCGGTGCAATTCATTTGAGATAATATGAAAGATCTAAAATCTGAAACAAGCAAATTGATTAGAAATCAATGAGTAGTGTTTATGTAAGCGTGTGTATATGAACAAGTAATTTAATCCATAGAAAGAAGTAGCATAAACATGACAGATGTGCAGGATCAATCGAATAAAAAATGAGAGGTGAGAAGAGAAAAAAAACTGATGGTATTATTCTGATTGAATAACGCCTGATTACATTATTACATGAAAAAATGTCGTATAGAAGTCCTGTGTTTTATACAAGCTATTTTTGTTTAATACTCATAGGTTTATTGAGCGAAAGAGACGTTTATCTAGTGGAATATTTAATGGCGTCGAAAGTATTGATGTGCTTACCTAATATTTTCTTTTTTTTGCCTATTGGAAGGAATCATGTTATCTACTTACGTAAATAAATAAAATATTTAAATGTTCTTTTTTTTTTAAATTAATTCCGTGTTAAAAAAATATGTTTGTTCCTCATCTTTCATCTCGTTTATTCCTGAGTGCTCCTTTTCTGGTGGAAGACAAATCCAAGTTTATTATTCGAAATTGTTTGCATAGAACCTGTAAGAAAGGTATCACAAAATGATGATGATGAAGAAGAAGAAGAAGAAGAAGAAGAAGAAGAATAGAAGACATAACCACTTTCTATGATTTCACGAATGGATAAAAATACTTCCCTTAAAATGATTAAATAATTAGTAAAAGATGGTCTTAAGAAAAAAAATAAAACAAAAAAAGAAGACTGTTCTATCATATATTCGCTTGATCCATTATATATTTAGTACATTTTTTTTACTTCTCGCTCCATATTTTTTTCTGTTTTATGTTCGGAAGATAGAAAATGTGATTATGAAATTAGCGGAAGATTTGCTCTTTAACACAATAACGACAGAAATTTTTTTTAGTTGATAATGAACATCCATACTAAATGAATATTATGAAATCGAAGCGGGAGTATAGTTACAGAGTAGCTATTTACCTCAATAAAGTTGATATGAAAATACTTGCAAAAGAACAGGATGTGAAAAATATAATATAAATGCTAAGTAACTACACCATTTGTTTTATGCATACTTGTGAAATAATTGAATTGAAATAATTATAATGAAAATTTCAAACAATTCTGAAACAACTTTTTTTTAAATGCTTGTCTATGCTAATCGGTCATAAATTTAGTTGGCTAAGTTCTGTGAGCAATGAAACACATCCATGTCTTACTAACTTCCTTTACATAGTTAATATCATCCAGCAAGTGCTTCTCTATTGCACACTTACTCGATTTATTGATGTTTTCTTTTCGTTCGTTACCCACTTTACTTATTATTCTACAATGAGTTTATACAAGATGAGAAACTTTTTCAAACAAAAAATATCAATCACAATAGATAGGATGAAATAATATATTGCTTTTATGTCTGCCGTACAACATGAAATATATTTTCCTTCCAGAACATTAAATGCTCACATAAAAAAACAGAAAAAAAAGAGTCGCTACGATTGCTTTCTAAGATTTTTAATATTTCTCTTCAAAATGTATTTACTTAGGAATATCTCTTAAAAGCTTCTGTCTATCTCAAAGTCACATCGAATTGGCTATTCATCATTTGTATAGTTGATCAACTTTTATAAAAAGAATATTATTACGGAACATCGGCGATTATTTCATATTTCCGACGATAAAATCAAGAAAACAATAAAAAATCTATAGCACAGCTTGATTATTGAGACGGAACGACGCGAGTGCGAGCTGCACTGATTCTATGATTTTCTTCGATTAGAAAAATCGGCGCTGCAATATTCACACGAATGCAAAAGTTAATCACTTATTCATTTCTCTCGTTTAAGTCACATGCGACATTTCTTGATTAAGGGCGTCTAAATCAAAAGAAAAATATGACAAATTAGGTAAAATTCTGGGAAAATAATGATGGCCTTCGTGAATTTATATGTCATTACATATATTTTTTCGATGCTATATAATCATATGTCTGATATTAATATCTGTATCACTAAGCATTGAACTATACAGGATGTCAATTCCTGACAAATCACATTACACTAGGCTCAGTGAACTGGAAAATAGTATTTTCTCCATAGAAAGAAAATATTATTTCATTCTGTTGGCAATAGTCTCTCACATAGAATAAAAAAAATCATTTTCTGGAAAAAAAGAATGACTCCGTTTTTTACTCATGAGCATTGAATCGAAATAATTCAAGAGACATGCTTTTTCAAAGATAAAACCAGCAGGCAAACTATCAAGTTTATATAGACGATTTCATTTCATTGTGCCACATGAGGAAATATCATTTTTTGATGATATTCAATGCAATGCCCTACCAATTAGGAAGGAGGCTCTTATTTTACACCTCAAAATGAAACACAAATAAGATATTGCTTCGTTTTTTACTTAGTTCTACTTAGTAGAAAAATTTATTTGAAAATTATTTAGGAAGAATAACATGTTTGTTTCATCCGAATTGGTCTAACACAGAAAAAAATAGGGCATGATGTATTCAAGTCATAATAATACTCTTCGATAAGAGCAGTGCACTGTTCTCAACTACTTTGATATTAAATAAAAAAGATCGCTTACATCAAGATTTCTAATTGGAATCGATACTTTATTAGAAGATAATGGAATGTTTTGGTATGTGACGTATGTTGATAGACGTTTTATAGTCGTGAAAGCTAGAGAGAATTTCAGAGGCCAAAAGAAAACTTTTGTGTATCATATTTTACAGAATCTATTTTCTTAATGGCTTTGACTGAAGCGAAAAGCTCTGAGTGAAACCTTATATCGCAGTAATAGAATGAAAATAATTTGCTAAATTCTATATTTGGTTGTGTTTATTAGAATGAATGTGTTTTCTATTATTAAGATTCTTGCATTGCAACGACTGAAATGACGTGAAAAGGTTCTTGTAGCATAATTGCTGTTAGAGTGAGCTATTTTGAATCAAAAGTGTTGAATTATACATCGGAAAAATTCATTATTTATCATTCATAGTCATCTAACACTATATACTCAATAAAATCCGGTGTGAGAGGTTTCCATTGACTATCAACTGTGTTTTATATAATTTATGAAATAGATATTTTATTTTTTTATAAAAAATAATTAACACTATCGCGCCCGATAAAAATAAATTAAATTCGCAAAGTTTTAGCCCACAAAAAAAAACTTTGAAGATTTTAATACTGCTGACGAATAATTCTTTTTTTTGTTTCCTTTCAGAATTTCTAAATTTTTTCATCAATCACTGCCTAATCCTAAACTATAATTTTTTTTCTGAATCGAGTTTTCTCATAACGTGCCTATGAAGACAACAGAAAATAAAAGCGTAATGCGCTGCATTGTACCTGCTCGCCTAGAAAAATGGTAAATCATTTTGAAAGACCAAATGTGTTTGTCACACGATAATTTAACAGTCTATTGCATACTAAACTAACCAGGAAGAGACACGCTAATGCATCCAACTGAAATATTTTTCATTCTGAGGAGACTATTTTGACCGGCACACACCCGCATAGCATTGACGATATTAGCTTAGCAAGTCCATCAAGATTGGTAAATATATTAGCGAGAGGACCAGACTAGAGTAACAAATATTTTTTTCTATTCTTATCTAACTTTGGCATATTATCATAAGCTATAGACTATGTTAAGATGATCCCTGTGAAAATTGATTGCCAAAATGAAAAAACAAATAATATAACAAAACACGCAAGTCTTAAATATATACGTATATGAAGAATATCCGTTATTGTGGATAGAAAGAAAAACGAAAATTTCATAGATCTGTACAAGTTGATTGTTGTTCTTTTGTTGTTCCTTGTTTCATTGCGGATTGTAAATGTCGTCGAGTTACTATTGGCGATGATATTTTTTCCATTGGTGGAGGCTTAAAATTACTATCAGCTATCGTAGGATTGTCGGTGATTCGTACGCGACGAATTATTGAAGGTGTTCGAGCTGGCAAGTAGATACGAACTTGAGGTTCATGTTGTTGCTGAAATTGTTCATCGGAATCGTCCACTGGTTCGGGTGAGGGCACATGAACTTCTGTTAATCGTGGTAATGATACAGATTGTAATTCTAAAGATACTGGCGATGATGGTGGCGGAGAATGTGATGTATTTTGCTTGAATATTCTTTGATGAAGTCGAGCTAAACGAGGTGAACCAAGTAATTTTGGTGTTGACGGTGTTGATAGTATTTCTTTAGTCGGTTTTGAATCTACGGCGGATTTTCGTCTAGGTTTAGGTGAAACGTGTTGCTGCTGTTGGTGTTGTCGATGGCGTTGAAGCCATGAATTAAATTGTGTTATGCACATACTTTTACTTCGCTGTATAGTTTTTTTTAGATCAAAACGTGAACGTTTTGAACGTTTATTAAGTGCTGCTGATGATGATGATGGAAGACTTGACCGTTCGGGTTCACTATTTGTTGGTGTCGATAGAAGATCAATAGGAGATGACGATCCTAATTTAGTGATTGTTGTTTCTAATGGCGTCATTGGAGTAGAAACACTCGATTGATGAATTTCACCTGGTAATATAAGTGATAATTTACGTAAGCATCCACGACTTAAAATCATTCTTTTGTGTTGCAGAATTGATCGTTGTTTTTCATTGAGATTTTCTTTATGTAAAGCATTTGTTCTATAAGAAGACAAACTATTTTAAAATTTTATCTACGAAGTTATTATCATTTGTTTTCGATTTCAACAATGATAACAATGGTTGAAATAAAATCTTTCTGTTAAATACGTCCACAGAAATTTTTAATTATCTACATGACAAGGGATATTTTTGTTTTCCTATATATTTAATGTTCCTGTAGTCGTGACGATAGTAAGATCTGCAAGAAATATCTTGTTAAATTGTATAAGTACCGAATAGTCCCTCGGAAGAACAATCGCTCGGATATATTCTTTATTAAATTAATCACCTTCTTAATATGAACACAAGATGACTAGAATCTATATCAGTTTTCCATTGAAACGACCATGCTCACTTGTCAAAAACGTAAATCTACACCTATACCACGATTATCTGTTGATTAGTAAATTTGATAGCATCTGTTATTAAAAAAAATGTAATTTTAACACCAGCAGGTCAAAAATATCTTATCGAATAACAAATATTGCCATGCATAACTGTCATCTTATAAGACTTATTATGTTTTCAACATTGTGAAATCAAGGATTCTAATCTTCTTTGCCAGATGCAACTATTTTTACTCACTAATCATTGAATCTCCACATTGTTGTTATAAAGATGGCAGGTCTAAAAGATTTGTCGGATTCTGAATGTCTATTTCAATAGTTTTATGGTGTCTTTACAGAGACGATAGGATGATGAAATTTTGTTCGAAACATCTTTATGTTGATGAATTTACAAACATCCTTAATTGATGATCAAAACAGAAAAACAAGGAATAGTAGCGAATACCGAGCCGGGACTTTGTTTTATTAAATTTCGGAAAGTAAAATACAATTTTTTCCATCATTAAAATGTCCTTCGCTATATTTTAGTGATCATAGAAATCCCTCAACAATCGTACAGTGAACTTCTTAGCTGAATTCTTGATGAACAAGAAATAGATCGCTTTAAATAAATCTGCCGATTATCAAAGATTCACCCAAGTGTCACGATATATCATTTTCCTTTAAACTTCACCTTTCGATTGTTTATAAAGAATTGTCTATCACGATCTATGGAATGGATAGAAATTCTCAGCATGATGGTTCAAGAGTATGCTGGTTACAGATCGATAAGAAAAAAATGCATTTGATTTCATTCAAATCCAATATGAAGAAACCTGATAAGTGACATTACGGAAATCTTAAATCTAGAGAAAAACAACTCACTGTGAATGACTCATTGATTGCAAATCGATGATTGTACCTTGTTCAAATTGTTGTCGATCGCCTTTAAAATGTGTCAACTGATGGAAAAACTTCTTGTTAAACACAATTGCTTGTTCCGTTGTTTTTCTTGATGCTCCATCTAATATGTCTGAATAAGCTGCACTTTGTACAGCTAATATCCATGAATGAGGCATTGATACTAATGTTTGAAATGATCGGCAGCGCTCCGGTAAATATCTTTGTGTATTATATTGATCGCATTGTTCAATACTTGACATTGAATGATGTTTGGCAAGATGATCTTGATTGGTTGCACAAAATATACTTGTTTTCAATGATTTTAATTCTGTTTCAAGTTCTTTTAATTGTGTGATTTTAGCTTTTAAATATTCATGATAACGACGAAGAGAAATTTCTTCGGACATTATTTCACGCCATTGATGAACTAGAAAAGATCTTTGATTTGGCGATAGAATAGGGTCCAGTGATAACAGATTTGTTTGAATTTGCGGAACTAATTCATCCGGAGATAATGATGTCGGCTCATTGGATGATTCGTGTATGGTAGAAATGATTGAACCTCGTTGAGAATTATTGTTATTATTATTTAGTTCAAGTTTATTCATAACCGATTGTCGACGATAGTCAACTAGAAAATTACTCTTTTGCATATTGTGCCAGTCGCGCATTTTCTGCTGATAAGATTTTGTCATTGCCGGAGCAAGTTTAGCGGTAAGTAATGCATGATTCAATCCAGATCCTAATTTTATTAATTAGATTTTACACGTGTTTTCTGTTTCATGCTAAAAAAAAGAAACATACCAATCTCATCAAATGTAGATATTTGTGGACGAGTCAATGAACGTGATGATGAGGATTGGACTGGATCGCTAAATTGTTTTTTAACTGTATCAAGTTTTGAACGTAGTTTACGACGATAATGAGCTGAAAATTGGAAAATAAATGCTGATAGGTACAATCAATCATGAACGTCCTTGAGTGTTAAATCCTTGGGAGGCAAGTGAACATATGTATTTCATAGTCTTTACCAATAGGAAATATATATGTCACACTTGAAACTTGAATTCAATCGAAAATTTCAATTTTCAACTTTCAACTTTTAAACCAATAGCATTCTGAAGAATCGTGATTCACACATATATCGCTGTGAGTTGAAAGTTGAAATTTTCTATTTTCAACTGAATTCAAGTACACTGCTGATAAAAAAATAATTAGACGTTCGCTAATACTAGCTGACGCTGATAAATCTATTCGAAATCACTTTATTCAATACACGGAGACTTTTTATATTGGTGTAAACTCAAATGATTAATCAATATAGGAAAACTGATATGTAAGTCTTGGCTGAAATTCTAGTGATAGACGTGAGAGTAGTATCGAAAGAATTTTTCATTGGAAAATTTAGTAAAATTGCTGAATTTCTCACGAACTATTTTCATGTAATTCGAAATAAATTAAAACAATACAAAATAGATTTACCGATTTTCGATGGTTTTCGTCTTATTAAATTATCGTCTTCTTGCGCTGTTGACAGACGATTCAATAAACTTGATGTTGATGATTCTTGCCGTTCTCTACTTGGCGAATTTGTTATATCATTTCTATAGAGATCTCGTTTATTGTGAACTCTCTTAAATTCAAGATATTCATCATCTTGATCAGTATCATCACCAAAAGGACCTCGTCGTTTATCCTTAATTGTTTTCTTTTTCGCTGGATGTTGTGAATGGTAATCATCGCTTTCATTCGAAATACTGATAACAGGTATAGTTTGATCGACATGAGCTAGTAAAGGACTCGGCGGTGAATTTGTTTTTCGTCGGAGCGAAAATGTGAACGCATGTCGAACTCTATTCCAATTTTTTAAAGTGTGTACGCCTGATAAAAGAACAATTTATAATAGTAAAAAGCATCAGTTCGACAAGTTTATAATTACCTAAATTATGATCGATATTTAACATCGACGATAAATCTTCCTGATGATGGGCACAATCATAGCCTTAGAAAAAAAGAATACAAGAGATGATTATTTTTCATGAAATATTTCTCATCGAGCAAGTAACATATGCTTCTGTATCACATCGTTCTGTTTGGCAATTTTTCATTAACTAGGAAATTTCTGTTGTTGTCAATCTTTTTCTGCTTTTCATATGCATAATAATCTTTGCAAAATGATTCATTGTATCAAATCAGAAACATTGGCATCAAGATTTTTTTCTAATAAACCCGATGAAAACAAGTACGCTAAAAGATAGTTTTGCACTGCCATAGGACTTGTGTACGAAAGATTTTTCTTTTATGTTTCAGTCGACCTTTTTATTTCTGTAAAAATTATCGTACCGTGCCGTTCTCTATTCGAGAGTGATTGATTCGATGAGCCGTTCTTCTTTTTAATTTTCAACGAATTCGAAGGTGATACTGTTGAACTTTTGTCTTCATCGAATTCGCCTTCACGATCATTTATGAATATTGTCGAAGGCATTGTTTTATTTTCTGCCCGATTATCATTTTCTTCAGCTTTTAATAAAAACTTTTCGGTACGATTAATTAACTCTAAATGACCACGTAGATGTTCATTTTCAGTTTTTAATTTATGTATATCTTCAATAAGATGACACAAATTACTAAATGCAGATAAGCCAGTTAATGTACAGCCGTTATTATTATTATCATTTGGTAGTGATGGTAGTGTTACTGAAGTTGGTTGTATTTGTCCAAGGCCCATCTCTTTTGCGAATTCAAGAAACTCATTAGGTGTTGTTGCCATAATTATACTAAAATTAAATTGAAAAAGAATCATAACTTTGTATTTCTTTTTTAAAAATCAATGAAAGAAAGTACTTCCGATGATACAAATCAGTTTTCTATGTTTTCCTCTAAATAACCATCTGCCATCAACCAGCGTAGACGATCTCTAATCGTTCCTTTCTCCTTGCTAGTAGTTGATAGATCCTTAATGTAACCACCTCTTGTGTTGTTTTTGCGTGTCTTATATATATATATATATATAGCTTTTTAATAGGACCTTTCGAGGTCTATCATCGATTTTTTTTGTATGTGTGTCTAGTATTGGAAAAATTAATAAGACAACAAAAAGCAAATCAAAACATTTGTCCTGTACTAATCAGAATATGGCCAATATCAATGGTACGAAATGAAAGATTGTTGATATTTGTTAAGAACAAAGAAAAACAACACTTATATGAAGTAGTATTTTCTTTTATAAATGATGAGTGATGAAGAACAAGGTCGCAATTAAAAGTCATATATTAATGAGAACAATAAATAAACATTCCTGTGGAGAAATTCGAGGTATGCAAATTTATCTTCATGTAATTTTCTATTATTACAAAAAAGAACACGGATGAACTTACTTTTATGGCATAGAACTAAATTTAAGAAATAGATCCTCATAAAACAAAACTATACTCAACCCATCAGCCAAATGATAGCATTAGCGACGATAAAAATAAATGTGTATACGCAATTACCAAGTGTTTTTTTTAACATCAAATGATTCTCCGTTATCGGCAAACCAACTTCGGATAAGAGATATATCAGTCGTTCTGTTAGATTTATCTTCTATTGTTCTTTCTTCTCTCTTGTATTTGGATCGAGTAACGACCGACTGTAGTCGTAGTAGTCTATCGTAACTCGTTTCTCTAGATTGTTTTGTTTTCTCAGATAATTAATAGCTACATATGTTATGATATTCATGCACAAGTTCATTCTATGGTGCTTGCGTTATTTGTTTATTTATATTATTCTTATTGATATGTTTCATATAAACATTCGTGTTAAGAGCTTTGTTTTGTTCATAGTTTGTTTTATGTTTATGGCGCAGTTGGCGCAGAGGGAATGATACGCACATTCCGTATCAATGTGTTATTGCGTCCAAAACAAAAAAGAGGAAGTGCATTATTTACGCGTTCTCATTGTGTCAGAGATGTATTTTCTATTTATAAATATCGAGTGCTATATTTGGTCTAAATAGTATACAAGAAATAATTTGTAATACTGCATTAGCAAGCTGAAATTTTAGAAAATTCGTTATCTTAGATAAAAAATATAAATCAGTAGAGTTATTTATCATAGATATCGAAATCGTTTGTTGATAATGAACTATTAATGATACTGTACGATATACTGCGAATAAACAACATTAATGAATATAAATGAGACAAAACAAAATATATTTTTTGGTTCGATGATGATAGTTAATCTTGTTTTTTTTCCTGTATGAGAACGTTTATAGGCAATAGTTATTGTAAAAAATTCCGATTTCTTGGAGAAATTAAACGCTCTGATTCCTTAGATTGAACTGTAAGGAGAATCACATGAGTTCCCTTAAAATCAAATAAAGGAGTCCTTCGATGTCCGATGTACGATAGCATCTGTTTTGCTGTAGCTTTTTTTTTTGGTGAGATTCTCATTTGTTTATACATCAATATTACAATACTCATTGTAACTCTGTGTCAACATTGTACATCAGTTAAGTTACTAGAGTACGCTTTTCGATTTTCAAATCGAACAAACATTTCATAAATATATTTCGAATACAATTGATTTTCAATGTGCGATTTTCCTACAGAAAATGATTATAGGCGTCGTTTTAAATAACTCTATCATGATATATAGTGCATTTCAATCATCATGTTCTACATAATATATTAACAAATAAACAAAGACAAACAACAAATGTTCAATTAGCCAATGCTATTAACTATTTTTGATGAAAGACAAGAAGACACATTCATATAGATGCAAAGCATGATATAACAAAAATTCATTAGAAAATGACATTTCAAAAAAAAGAAAGTACTACTATAAATATTAGAATAAAACCCGTAGGTACAAAGCAGCAAGCTGCTGTTTATATAAATAGAACTAAAAAAAGAACATGTCATATTTAGTAATGTCTTTTTCTTCTTCTCTTGAATTAGATGCCTCCAGGACATGTAGTACTGAAAAATAATACAGAGAAAAACAAGGATACATTTCTCTCCAAGAGGAACTATCTATCTAGTCTAGAATTTTATCGTAAATCCAACGTAATGTAAAACCAAATATATAATCTTTTTCAGGTTCATTATGTAATTCATGATAACAATTATTCCAACTTTTAAACTGAATATTTTTTCCTCGATTAGCAAATTTCAAACTTGCATTATGACTTGTTATTGCATCCGCACTACCGTGTTGAAGTAATACAGGCATATGAAATGTACACGATGATCGATCAAGCATTTTTGCCATGCTGCCCACTGAATGAGCAAGTGATAATGTTGTCGATCGACGTATATGGGGATCCTCGTTATAAGCAAGAATCGTCGTTTCATCACGTGATATCATGGACGGATCGAATCGAAGTGGAAATTTTAAAGTTGGACTCAATTGACCCATTTTTCGAATCAATGCATCAACAGCACGAGGCGGTTGCAGATATCCAGCTAGACGAATCCAAGGACTCGACACAACTAGAGCTTGATATGGACATTTGTCCGATGCATTCGGATATCGATTGAGTGTATAAGATAAAACCAAATTTCCACCCATCGAATGTCCGTAGAGAATAGCTGGACACGATGAATATCGTGATCGTACTTCGTTTATTAGTAAATCCATATCTTGAAATATGATTTCAGATGTTGATATAAAAACATGTTTTCCTTCACTTAAACCATGTCCGCGAAGATCCATTGAAACCATTGCCATATTGTTTCCATTAAAAAAGTGTGCAACATGTTCGTATCGGCCGCTGTATTCTGCAACACCATGAATAAGTATAATTACAGCAGTTGGCGAATCGGGATGTTCATAAGATGGCCAATCAAAGGCAGAAATGCGAAGGCCATCATGTGACAATAATTCAAAGGCTTTCATATTAGAGATATTTATTACTCATTAGAATTATTGAATAAAAATGTATATTTATAAATGCGTGAGTAAGAATTAATGTCGATACATTTATATTCTTTCGTAAGTAACCATATACCTTCTTCGTTGTAGTTACCTGTAGATTTTAGCGAGAAAACGACGTCAACATGATAAAGAATGTAGCATTAATTAATTGGAAAAAAGGCACGCCTGTGAAATGAGTAATATCCGTTAAATGATCGACTGTGTTTGCAATTGGTATTTCATGGCAAATAGAAAAGCAAATTTAACGTAAACAAAGATTGATCATATTTTTGACTATTTATCGACAGCTGGCCAATGCTTCTTGTCTCACAGGAATATCATACCTTTCTTTATGGTTGACTAGTAAACTGATTGCATCTACGAGTGTATTTATATCGAATATCATATATTTCGTGACATTTGACAAAAAACACGCTTTTATCGCGAACAATAAATATCATGGGGGGGGGGG